ACATCTGGTACGAGGTTGGCCGTGGTTATTATTCTTCATTAAGATGGTGTGATGCATTTCGGGACTGCTTTGGGTTCACTGACGTCAGAAAGCGATGCCGTCTTGATTTTGTCTTCTACTTTCGTGCTCCACCAAAGTTTACAATAGAAATACTCAGTTATTTACCTTACGCAAGGATTCAGGTCAGCTACGTTTGCAGCAAACGTTACACATTTGCTGTTAATATCATTCGGTGCAACTCTGGTTCAAAACTAAATGGTATGTTTTAGATCAATGTCAGTATCTAAGAAAAACGCACCTACCCCATTCCTAACCGTAACAAAAAAAAAAACAAACAAAAGAAAACAAAAGAAAAAATGTTGAAAGAAAGGACAACAATGCACACGACAATCTCGAAAGGTACTCTGGTTATCCGATAATCATTGAGTTTCGATAGGTCAAATAAATAAAATCATCAAACCAACGATGGATAGTCCTCTATTGATGTTTAACCAGATTTCCTTGAAATCCATAGGCCAAGGAACCATAACCTGAGAATGATCTACCATACCTTTAAAAATTGTCACGCGCTGGTTTTTTTATTTATTAATTTTTTACAGTCTTCTTGAAGCAGCTGTATGCAATAAAAGTAAACGCTGGTTTTCTCTTTTCCATTTAATGGTGCTATGTTAATTGTAAAATTTGCAGTCTCTATTAAACTTCTTTCGCTCTTGATTATGGGCCAAGTCGCACTAGAGGAAAAAACTGTTTATTTTTGTCAAAACTCTGTCATCGCAATGAAAAACAAAGTGCGACCGGTTTGTTCCCGCCAAAGGACAAAATTTGGTCGCCGACGGACAAACTTCAAAGATTCCGTCCACTGCCTCTAGAGCAGGCCAGATTGAGACAAATTTTGGAAAACAATAGCTAAGGTGTTTTAATTCGGAAATGATTTGACAGGTGATATGTAGAAGAGTCTCTATGCTATAGACTTCGTTGCAAAATTAATCACGTTCTCATTTCGCAACAACATGAATCGCGGCACGGGCGACCATTTTTTTCCGTATGAATATCCACAATATCCACCAGGATGGATCTATCCTTTTCTAGGCCCTTACATAGTTAATGATGCTGAGGAAATCCCAGCCCATCTGGTTCGACCACGAGAACTGACTCGTTGCCAGAATCCCTCCAGTTCAGCGAATATAGCTAAATGCCGGCATCAACCTCATCCTCTTCGCGCCGTGCATCTTCGTCGTCCGAGAACAAGAAGGCTCGGGACAGATGTAGTAAAGAAGAGGAGGAGCTTTTAGTTCAACTGATCAAGCATGATCGGTTAGAAAGCCGAGAGTCAAGGAAAACGTGGGCTTGGATCGCCAAAAACACTCAGAACCAAGAAGACGGCCTACAATCACTGCGAGAATTTTTCGTGGTCACAGGTTTTTACATCCCTCGTGGGGCGGTTTTTGTGGATGTAAGCAGCAAGAAAGGCAGCTTCGCGGGAAATCACGGGCAATCACAAGGCGCTCTCAAGGCGTATTGTGTTTTGTTCACAGATTTTGTTCCGAAGTGCGACTGTAGCCTTCCGGACAAATTTTGTGTCACTGGCCGACTTCAAGTCGGATTTGTCCTGAACAAATCTGAAATTGCCCTCTAGTGCGACTTTGCCCTATGTTGTATGTGTATTGGTGTTCTTAATTTTAGTATATCAACAAAGTTGAAATGGTAGATTGGCCACCGTTACGATTATAAAAGCTGACTTTTCGAGCATTAGTCCTTCGTCGGAGCGAATAGAGGAATTGTTGGTTGTGTGTACTTTTAAAGGCAGAAAAAGGCGCTACGTGATTGGTGGGAACATGGCAACGAGAAAAACACGGCAGTCTAAATCCAACTAGTATCAACGAAAGCTTTTCATTCCACTAATTTATTTATGTTTTTCCCGTTGCCCTGTTTCCACCAATCACGTAGCTCCTTTTTCTGCCTTTAAAAGCACACACAACTCACAATTCCTCTATTCGCTCCGACGAAGGGCTAACGCTCGAAACGGCAGCTTTTATAATCGTAACGGTGGCCAATTTACCATTTCAACTTTGTTGATATATTCAAATTATTTCGTTACCCCCACCGACGCAGCCCCAAACAGTTTCTTTAGAAACTATCAGCCTTTATCTATTTGTGTTCTTGTTTGTTTGTTTGTTTTTCGCTTGTTTTTTTCATAGCAGTACGACACTCCTCGATTCCCTTATTCGGTGCATGATTTTTTCCCTTTTCGTATGCTTAGACAGTCTAGAGATAAAGAGCGATAATGACGCTAGTGGTGATGATGCTGAAACTCCACAGACCCTAAAGGATCAGGTACACTGAATGTATTCAGAAGGGATAAGTTATCCTCCGTACATTTACAATACCTAATATTAATAATAGACATAAGCCAGAGCGAAAACAATCTTTTTTTTTCTTTTTTTCTTTTTTTATTTGAAAGGAATGGGCTAGGTAGGAAGCAGGGTTCATTTTTAACTTTGCTGTTTTCCTTTTTTCCCATATTTCTTTTATTATTTTCAATAATATACTTATTTTTCCGATAAAAATTCACCATCAATAGGTACTGAATGATTTAAGCCTCATTACTATTGAAAGAGAGGATTCTCTGCAGGTATTCTGATTAATACTTTGAGAGATGTTATCATTTAATATATCGCATTTGTTATATAACCTCGTGGACTCGATAAAACCAAACCTTTTGTAGCTTTTAAAAGCTGTGCAAAAATAAAAAAAAAAAAAACATTTAGAGATACTAATTAAAGATACATTCTCGAGAAAAATTGAACAGTGAACTACTGTAAATATCAGGCATCAAATGAAGTACTTTTCATTAAAAAATATAATGATACGCTGGCGTTTATTGAAATGATATTCCGCGAATTTAATACTTTTTAGATTGCCTTGGGGATGTTTGAGGAGACCATGTTTGGAAATCTTACAGAGGAGGCAAAAATGGAAGAAGTTTTTCAAGCGACAACAGCTTTTGAAGAATTCGCGCTGGAATATGCTCGGTATCACCTTAATCAAACCACACCCAAACTGAACATCAGCAGCCAAAACATTGGTAAATGGAGAGAAAAAATAGCTTTTTTGTTTACACACCTGCTCTGTCACCATTTATCATGGAAAAATAAAAAAAAAAATACTCCTTTCAACAGAAAAAAGCATAAGGCGAGCGGATGTGATTTCGACTCCGTTCATCAAAAGAAAAAGGGCATTTTAGATCGCATGACAACTGTCATTTATCACGGACGAAAAAGAAAAGTAACGACTAAATGAGTGAGAGAGGATTGTTAGTTCGGCTTCTCTCTCATTCTAATAAACTTTTACTGCTTTTTTTTAAATTTCTTCTTTGCACAATGACAGTTCATAAAAACACGGCTGTCAGAAAGAACGATTATTATTACTTAGAAATTGGAGGTGGGAACTCCTTTCTCAAAATGTTCTGCCCAACCCATATTCTGTTTTGAAGCAAAGGTCTATTGAAAATGGCTTCAAATAACCAAACTATGTATTTCAATAAGCCTTATTTAAGCTTATCAAGTCTTTTTCTTTGATTGGCTCTTGATTGTGTGTATTGTTGTTGCTGTTGTTGTTTTTTTTTAGTCTCGTTTCTCTTTATTTGTGTTTTGTCGATCAATATAACATTTGATACGTTTTGTGGCTAGATTTGGAGATCCGACGAATTTTCGACCAAAACGAGAGCACTTTTTATCTTAAGGAGTCAAAAGGACAAAACTTTGTTAAAATTCCTTCGGAAAACTTTCAGAATGGTGAGTAAAGGATTCTTTACATACATCAAATAGATTCTATCCATTAGATGCATCCGTCTTTCAGCAATCTTACTGTACGTTGTTCCTTTCCAGATTCAGAAATAGTCCTAGGAGTTTTATACAAAACGCTTCATAAAGTACTGGTAACCAATGATTTTCACACCAAAGATGCAACTAACGAAAGCAGGTCTGATTATTTTAATATGTTTGCACATAAGTTTCTTTGTTCCCTTCTAGCCCATCTTAAAATGCTTCTAGTCTCACTTATAATTTAATAGGGGATAGAAGAGATAAATGGACTAAAAACTATTTGCTAGACCAAAAACAAAACACAATGAAGCGAATATCAACTAGTTTGTTAATTTACCACGATTTATCATTCCTCTTCGCTTCGCTTTTTATCATTAATGTCTCCGTCATGTCCTTCAATCATCTTCCACAGTCCCATCGCTATACTTCTGCCTTTTTTCTTTTTTTTTTTTAATTTCATTTTATAAATTTAAATGAGATGAACAACTTTTTCTACTGAATCCCACCTCAGACATCTTAACACCATCATAATGTCTGCTACGATTGATCCACATCCTGCGAGACTGACACAGAACATTACGTCAATGTTCAGGGATTTAAAGGCAAGTGCAGAAATAAAGCTCTGTTATTGAAGCACTTCTCATTCCCTTAAAAGAGGAGAACTGTTCAAACAAGTTTTCAAAGGAAGGAATGAAGTGGTTCCAATATAGGTGCAATAAATAGTTGTAATTTTTTTTTACTGTCGTGATCCACGCTTAGATTAGGAATTTCAAAGAAAATTGCACCCAAACCAGGCCATTCATTTCTTTTAGAGAAAACAGCAGAGATGTTATGCCCTTTTGTGTTTCATCAGACAATATATATATATATATATATTTTTTTTTTTACCTTTTCGGCAGTCAACATCCCCTTATTGACGTCTTTGCTTCCCTAGAAGCACAGGACTTTTTTAGGATCAGAGAATTTGTTTCCACTTTCAGATCACAAACATGAAAAGAGATTGTGTGTTTTGGAACACAGCAGAAAGCAGGTCATTATCAATGTACTGATATTTTATTCATTTTCAATTGCTAAAACAAAGAACTTGCTTGACGGAATAAAACTATTCTCATGTTAAAGTTTCTTAATGGGTGAAAAAATCTAGGGCGATAAATGGTAAGTTGCCTATATTTCCTGCAGTTGATTTAAGTCCAATGTAGGTTAAACTGCGCTGTAACAGACCTCTGTTTTGTTCTTGCAAAATTGCAAAATATATTCAACAATTCAATAAGGAGGGAGCTGGTCGATGTTCTTATGTAAGAATTTTTAAAAGACGGATTTACCTTTTTTGCAGCTATGTCGGTTGGTCAGGGCAAGGTTGCTCTGCAAAATCTGTGGGCGATTCTCAAATAGAGTGCACCTGTAATCATTTGATTCATTTCGCTGTACTCGTACAGTTTGGCACAGGGCCCGGCGATAAAGTCTTATCTGAGGTAAAGTGAGTTATCGGTAAAATTTCACAATAATTCAAAGCATGTGAAGACTATATCTAGCTTTGTTTAAGCTACTCGTGATCGTATCTTTACTTATTTTGCGCTTTCTTATTTTCATTTTGTTTTGTTATTTATTTTTTTTACACAGACAGACAACAAAATCTTGGAGGTCCTAACTTATTTGGGTCTGACACTATCTTTGATTGGAATTATCCTAACAATTCTAAGCTACGTTTTTCTTACGTAAGTACACCGCAATAGAACAACTCAAAAAGATAAGGCACACAAAATTTAGTTTCATACGGACACATTTATACTTTGTTTCTATTTATTCGTCATAATTTTATAAAATTTCGTATCATAGGGAGACATGCATCCTTATTTTTCATTAACTCGTCTATCGTTTGACTCCTTTGCCATCAGGGAGATGAAAGGTCCTTTATCCCAGATTCGTGTAAGTTTGGTCGTTTCGCTGGGCGCAGCTCAGATCATATTTCTGGCCGGGATCGGTGCGACTGAGAACAAAGTAAGGAATACTTGATATGGCTGCTGTGATTTTCATTGCGTTCTCCAACTCTTTTCTCGTTTGAATGTACACGTAAGGAAGTGCCTGAGAAAGAAATAGTTTTTAACACCAGGTTTTTATTAGAAAATTATATCTATTTTAATCTCCTTCGCTTTTCTCACAGTGACAAAAATGTTTATCCACCTGGTATAACCAGTCTGGATTGCGCTTCTTTGCCAACGAACGTTTTTTTTTTACTTAACCACAGCGGCGGCTAACTGATCATGAAATGATTCTTCTTTCCAGAAAGCGAGTGTTCTGGTAGCAGCCCTTGAGCAGTACTTTTTGTTCGCCGCATTCTGTTGGATGTTCATCGAGGGGGTTTACCTTTACTTATTTGTTGTAAAAGTTTACAATGTTTCAAGCAAGTTGAAGATATGCCACGGAATTGCATGGGGTAAGACCAAATTTCAGCTAACTAAACAGCGTAACACTTAAAAAATAATGACACCCTTTACCGTGGGTTTCCTTCCCAGTTTTAGTAGGTATAAATAACAGGATCATTTAATACCCTCAACTTTAATGTACATGGAAGCTAGACCGTTGCGGGTAAAACCCTAACAATTTGGGGGAATAAAGGTTAAACGTGAGCCGTTTTACTCAGCGGCAAATCCGGCAGTATCTCTTCCAGGAATTGATTTCAAACCTCTTGAACCACTAGGGAGCCTTTATCCCTGATCAGTTCTTTAAAAATATTTGTCCTGAATAAGGGTCACTAAGACAGGAGTGTGTGTTTTTGACTTTCTATCACAGGTTTTTCTGCACTTATGGTCGCCTTATCCCTGAGCATTACAGCAAGCAAAGATGGAATCGAGAGTTTTGTCAGTGAAAAACTGTGAGTGCATATAAATATATATAGTAGTTTTATACAATATCATCAGTTCTCGGAATACAACTATTGAAAAACGACTGATTTACAAGCATACTCAATAATAATAGATAATATTTTACAATCAAAGGTATCCTAATAAATTAAAAACCAGGTAATGTACATTTTTTATTGTCTAAAAAGCATACTAGTTGGAATAAAGCTACGTTTGAAACGCTCGGTATGTACTGCCGGGAGTGTAAAAATTAGAAGAGTTGTGCAAAAAGGAATAGCCGAGTCATTACCATCACGGCACCGGGTGGGAAGGAGTGACATGAAACGTGGATTAGTCAGACTAGATAACTTGGAAAAACTTTTTGAGCACAAGCGCTCACGACGCAGAAGAAGATTTGGTAAATTCAGTGCCTCTAAGGCTGACGCATAGGAGTAGTGAGGAAGAATAAACTTAAGGGCTCCTTTCTGAATAGACTCTAATCTATCATTAAGACATAAAGAAACGGAGAAGTGCCAGACAGTACAACCATATTCAAGAAGAGGTCTAATGAGAGTGACACAAACAGTAACAAGATCGGTTGTGCTCACATTAGAACATCTGAGAATACGGAGGATATAGAGTCGCTTGGCAGCTCTAGGCACAATGGAATCTATATGTGCATTCCAGTGAAGATCTGATCAAAGGGTTAAGCCAAGAACCTTGTGAGAGAAAACAGAATCAAGTGGCTTACCATTAATGGTGAAAACTGGTAAAACTGGCTGTTTGCGGAAGAAACATATGTGCATAATCTTACATTTAGATGGATTTTGACTCATGTTATTGTTGACCGCCCTCTGGTAAATTCTGTCCAAATCAGACTGCAGACAAGAGGAATGGCCACGATTGAGTGTATCAGAGAGGGTGATATTGTCGACATGCTTCCCACGATTACAGCCTAATTGGGTAGAAAGACCCAAATAATTGAGCATTAACAGAAAGAGGATAGGTCCTAATTTAGTCCCCTGAGGAACTTAGCAGTGATAGGAAGCCATAATGAAATAATGTCATTGATCTTCACAGCCTGTCGTCGTTTAAGAAAAAAAAGATAAAAAACTAGAAATCCAGGAAATAAGAGCTGGGCGTACATCAAGATTAATTAACTTCCGCACAAGAATAGTGTGGTCAATACGATCAAAGGCCTTGATAAAGTCACGGAAACACCCATATAGGTAACGACCAGGCTTGCTAAGAGCTTTAATTCGAAGGTGCAAGAGGTCAACAAGGCAGAGGGATGTTGAAGAGCCTTTTAGAGAACCAAGCTGACGAAGATTAATTTTCTTGCCAATGTCTTCATACAGCCACTTCACAGCGAAGTCTTCTTGGATTTTTTACAGAGTAGGAGTGAGAGAATTAGGTCGAAGGTCGTTTTCAGACTGCACTGGAAGAATTTTTGGAATAGGTGATCTAAACGGTTGTTTTCACGACTCTGGAAACAAACCAGACTCAATTGAGCGGTTGAACATCTCAGTAATAGGATATGCTAGCTCGTCAGGGAATTCTTTCAATACTCGGTGAAGAATACCATCTGGACCAGCAGATTTAGAGACTAATATTTGCCAACTTAGACTTGATTTCATAAACAGAAATAACAGGAAGCTGTTTTGGTGCAGGGAGGAAAGCAGGAAAGCGTACAATATACCGCTATTTGATAAGACTATTTGTCAATCTTCCTTGTAGAAGGACTCTAGAATAGGCTGTAAAACTTTTAGTAATGTGTCTGACGGATCTTTTTAAATGTGCCATTTAATTTTTTGGTTTTTTTTTTTTTTCTTCTTTTGATTTGTTTTGTGTTTTGTCTGTCAAGTTGCTGGCTTTCTAGCGAAAACGGTCTGATCTGGATTTTCATTGTCATTGTTTTGCTGATTGGATTGGTGAGTACATCGTATAGCAGCTTCCTAAATATTTACCACTGAAATTATTTTCAACATCTATTGATCCTAGCTTTGCAAGCGAATACCTCTCAAGATGAAGGTGGTAACAGTGGCAGTGATGCAAATGGTATCGACGACAGTGAAAAAAAGTAGAATTAGGGCAGCAAGTGATGAAAAAAAAATCAATTTGGTTATATCAACTAAGTCCAAATTGTAAATTGGTCACCGTAATGAATAAAAAACCTGACGTTTCGAGTTTTAGCCCTTCGCTCTGCTTGTTACCCCCACCGATGCAGCACAACAGTTTCTTTAGAAAATTTCAGCCTTTATTCATCTCATAAAAAAGCGATTGAACTCTTCTCTTCCATATTCCGACTGACGTCCGTATTACCTTGTTATAGTAGCTATTTTTCTCCCTTTTCTAGCTTAACCTTGTGATCCTTGTACGGGTTATCAGGGAGATGACGACAATGCATCAAACCAAGGACAACCAATCTGAAAAAATCAGGTAGATAGCAAAGGGCGAGCTATTTACAGCGGGGCTCCCACGCACGCGAAGCGCGCGTAGGGCAGAGCCCCATACCCATGGAATATGGTGAACCTCTTTTTGTTTGGTTGTCACGTGACTGACCGAGAGTACGTACGTACGTGCCCTCTGTCATGTATGCTATCACGAAAGTACCATATGATCAAATTTCAAAATATGGCGTCCACGCAGCCGACCCTCAAAATTTTCAGGTCGGAATTCTCGTTCATTTGCGATCGAGTTAGACGTTGTAGAACTCAGAATGTAAAGTAACAATAGCATAGAATACTTTACTTGGAAAATAATGGATATCAAGGTCTTAAAGGTGACAGAATAAGCTCTCGAGTCAACGACACTATGATTCTCAAGGCTATACGAATTATGGACGTAAGATGAAAAACGAACTTTCGGACTTCAAGCAGGGCCTAGCGACAATTTGACGACTCGATGGCCCGGTAAATATTATGTTCGAGTAACATTGTGTTCAAAAAGTATTGTTGAATAGAAGATTTGCGTCAAATCGGAGTTTTTTCAGACTTTTCAAACATAATGCTGCGCAATCTCCGGTCTTGAAGGTACGGTAAACAACGATCTAAACATGATGAATTTTACCGCGTGGGCTTTGTACACGTAAGACATTCGTACGTTTTTCGCTAATAACAGTAAATCAAAAACCGTTTTGAATAAATCTGTCGTCGCGAAATATTTCTTGGCCATTTTTTAGTCTTTCTTCCTAATGATAGATTCCATGGAACTTGAGATCTCTTTACTCACGGAGAAATTCGCATATTCCATTTTCAAATATGATCCACATCTTATGGTCAGAGCCTGTCTCTGGGAATAGCAATGATTATTAACTACTCAGGATTTTCAAAATTTCTGATCCTCGACGTTAAACTGAAAATACAACAAGGAAATTTAGTAATATCAACTAAGTTGAAATTGTACATTGGCCTGGTAAAGATTTAAAAAGGTGACGTTTCGAGCGTTACCCATTCGTCAGAGCCTTAGCCATTAGAACAGTTCCCGGAGGATCAATTTCCATCTTTTATTCTTTATCACTTCACTGAACTCTTTACTCTTTAAACTCTTTAAGGCATAAAACGAAAAACATGAAGTTTGTTTCCCTTATTTTGTTTTTGTTTTGTATTGTTTTTCTTCCTGTAGATAAGAAGTCGTTTCAAAAGAAAGCTCCACTCCATTTTTCCATCGGCAGACAATGGAACCAATATCAAAAGAAGCTCTGAAGGAAATGAAAATGCCAGCGGCAATATCTCGATAAAGAAGATCATAACTAAACATAGCGTTGTGACCGAAATAAAAAATGACGGTTCAGAGAAAGCCTTTTGCCTATAATTTTGAATGCATATACTCAAATAAGACACTGGTTAGTTTATAATTGAATAAAGGCTGATAGTTTCTAAAGAAACCGTTTGGGGCTGCGTCGGTGGGGGTAACGAAATAATTTGAATATATCAACAAGGTTGAAATAGTAAATTGGCCACCGTTATGATTATTCAAGCTGACGTTACGAGCGTTAGCCCTTCGTCGGAGCGAATGACGAAGGGCTAACGCTCGAAACGTCAGCTTTCGTAACCGTAACGGTGGCCAATTTACCATTTTAACCTCGTTGATATATTCAGTTTATAATTGGCTGGAAAGGAGGATTCCCCAAATTTTCTCAATAAATCATGATTAACAGAAGCAAAGATTTAATGGCAAATGAAGACAATACGAAAAAGCTTAACCTTAGGAAAGGAAATACGACTTGCTTATTGTACCGGCAGGGTGATTTTGACCACCCTAGATCAACCAATTTCGGTTGAAAGAGTCGCGTGTGTAATTGGTAGCCATGCCAATTGTGGCGTTAATTATTTCCTTTTAATAATCAAGGAGCAACGTAGCCCTTTATTATAAACTTATTTTTGACGAAAATACAGTGTGATGCTTTTGCATATTGAGGAGAATAAAAGCTTTAAAATCATTCGTATTCTACTAAATAATAATTTCAAAACTGATAATGATGTAATGTAACGATAGGCATTTAAGTTATCGAGTTTTTATGCTAGCGCTAAAAAATAAATAAAATTTAACGTAGAAAATGAGAGTCTGCTAACTTCAGCAAAGCGTAAATGCTACAAGTTCTCATTCAGTAAGTCGTAAACAGTTGTTATTAGATCATAATTGTAACTAGTGTTAAACTGTAACCGTCACCTGTCATGACCTTTTGTGTAGTTGTTATCCACCATAGCTTTTCGAAAGTGTTTAATCTTGTAAAAGGAGAAATTCCTGCCTATCAGTTGTTGTATATTACGTGATCCTTTAGATAATTAGTGGCATAACCTAATCCTTTCTACTTTAGGCTAAAATAGAGCTGTTTTGCAAAGCTTTCTTTGGCCAAGCCAGTTCTGGCCAGGACAAACTCACACAGGTCGAGCCAGGTCAGACTCAGTTTGGTCAAAAACCAGTCCGTTCAGTAGTGCTTAAAGAATAAATCTACGTTGAAGCCAACTTTGTTCTTGTTAGTCACCGTCTTAAGGATACTCAACAGCCGTAATAGGTCCCAGCCTTCCGGAAGCCAGCGAGTGCCCCCATGAAAGCGTTTTTCAAGAGGAAGTTTATCAAGTTGTTCCTCCGTCAGTCTGTTTATTTGTGAAGACAAAAACCTGTTTCCACAGTAATGGTGAACTTACTAAAATAATATTTCACTTTTTATGGATATTCTAATATGTCGTAATCGTGGTTCGCATCTTTCTACTCCAACCATTGATATTACACTCAAAACAGCGCAAAATGGCAAAAATGTTTCTGTATGATTCAGGGGGAGAAGTATTTGAATTTTATATAACAGAACCGCTTCATGCGCTGCTGGTCAATGAAAATTAAGGAATTTACTTTGAAAACACAGAGCCGAGTGCTTCGTCTCCACACTCAAATATGCGAGAATTCTGCATTCATCGTATGAGCTTATGACTAAGGGGTTCGCAGATGTTTTATGACGTTGGTAAAAGAAGTAGCCACGATAATTATTGCATCCGACAGTCCGTCTTTATTTCTCCTTTACTCGTTTTCGTCTTTCTCCTTGGCCTAATAGTTGTCATTTTCTTGGCATTAGGAAATGCTTTTTATTTTTTCATCACTTTCATTCCAAAACGGTAGAATCTTAAACCTTATTTGTATGTTTTTTTAAATAACCTTCGGCTGTTATTTCTCTTCCTGTCGGTAAAAAAATAAAGCATTGTGACAAACATCACCCGCTATCAACTTAGCTAATTGCTAATCTCTCTTGGAGGTCTATATTCGCAAAACACTAATTCAGTAGTTTAAAAGAGAGTTAAGATTTGTAGTTTTCGAAGTAAAGATATGTTTTTTTTTAAGTATCAGTTCTGAGCGTAAAGGTAAAGAATGAAAATATATCGTGGCCTAAGGCAGATATAATAAAAGATCCATTGGAATATTTTATAATATTTACTTCTCACAAGTAAAACGTGGTCAACCTCAAGTTAGTTACTTATACAAACTACGAAATTCGGCTCGGCTTTTTTATTAAGGAAGTCAACTGGAAAGTCTATCCATCGTTTTGTTTTAATCCTCATTTTTACACATCTGTCGGTGACGATGTCATCAACGCAAAAACATCAGCAATTACAAATCTTTTATTCTTGAAAATACATCACTTTTAATTTTTGGCAGGAAGTTAGTTCGGGCTTCTTATAACAAAATTAATCATGAAACCTCTTTGCACTAAACCCTTTCTATCCCCACATTAAAAAGGAGGATTACATTGCTGTGTTGATATCGATAGTTATTTAATTTATCGGACATGCTGACCGAAAAAGTTATAATAATTAATAAAAGGCCATTATGAGATCAATAAGCTTTATCATTTCTTTCTGAACACTAAACCATTTTATCATTTGCTTAGGATTTGCTCGATTCTTTGCGGTCCATTACTGAGCATTTTATCGACGAGATTCGCAACAAAAGTGAAAATAAGAAGGACAAGATAGATGACATGTTTCTTGAATTTACCTCTTTGGAGACATCTGTATTGGAAAAAGCACAGTTAAACTTTAATCGCACAACACGTGAATTTAACATGAGCAGCGTACACGTTGGTAAGGCATTCTCTAAAGATAATAAATGCGTTCAACATCATCATTATACCGATTCAAGGGCTGACCATGAAAGTATGTTCATTGTATGGAACAACCTTATTATAATATTAAAGGGCGACGTGCATGTAGTACAATTTTCTTGTTCTCACTGTTCTATCTATTTCAATTAAAAACCTGACTATTTTGTCCACCTTGAGAAGCAATAGTTAACTTTTTTCGCTCTTCGATATTACGCACATTTATGTAAGTTAATTTCTTTTTTTTATGGTTGTTATTATTATTACATGTATTGTTATTATTATCATTATTAACATAGTTATTATTATTAATCATCATCAGTATTCTTGTTTCTATCTTAACCCTTTAATAATGGGATAATTGAGCTTGCACTCCAGCATTTTCCGACCTAACTGAGGTGACAAAGTGAGAGATGGTGGAATTGATGAGGTGGTCGGGATACTTGAGGTTTGTAAACATCATCTTTGGATGATCACATTCAGATTTGAATGACTCCCATGTGGACGACAGGCGGAATGCACGATTCAACATGGTCTTAAGTAGTGATTTCTTGTACCTTTTATCGACGTGGCTCTGGTGATGAAGCAATAGGCCTGTGTTTGTTGGTTTCCGATAAACACTAGTTTCTAGTTTACAGCCTTTCTTGAGCACTTCCATACCGACAAAAGGTAACTTGTTTCCAGATGCTAGCTCCATGGTGAAGTGTATGGACGGATGGCAGTTATTTAGCGTTGATAATAAATCTTCTGCCGCTGGTACACTTGTGACAATAGCAAACGTGTCATCCACGTACCTTCTGTAAAATTCAGGGAGCTTGTTGTCTTGATCTAGTTTCTCTTCGATAGAACAGAGAAATGCGTTTGCCATAAGTGGGCCCAATGGAGAACCCATGGCCACACCGTCGGTCTGCTCGTAAAGATTGCCATCAAATTGGAATAGTTGATTCATAGTTGCAACTTCTAGAAGTTGAACCAGTTCAGGCTTTGTAATGCTGAGGTCGTGTGTAGTATTAAACCAGTTGTCAGCGAACGCCTTCTCAGCGATGATTTCGATCGTTTCTTGAAGCGGCACATTAGTGAATAGTGACGTGACGTCATAGGATACCAGAATGTCATTCTCGTCGATGACTAGGTTTTGAATCTCATCGGCGAAGGAGAAGGTATCTGATATTGTGTAGCGATTGCTTGACAGGNTAGTGTTGTCTTATGGGCAAGTCATCGACGAGAATGACATTCTGGTATCCTATGACGTCACGTCACTATTCACTAATGTGCCGCTTCAAGAAACGATCGAAATCATCGCTGAGAAGGCGTTCGCTGACAACTGGTTTAATACTACACACGACCTCAGCATTACAAAGCCTGAACTGGTTCAACTTCTAGAAGTTGCAACTATGAATCAACTATTCCAATTTGATGGCAATCTTTACGAGCAGATCGACGGTGTGGCCATGGGTTCTCCATTGGGCCCACTTATGGCAAACGCATTTCTCTGTTCTATCGAAGAGAAACTAGATCAAGACAACAAGCTCCCTGAATTTTACAGAAGGTACGTGGATGACACGTTTGCTATTGTCACAAGTGTACCAGCGGCAGAAGATTTATTATCAACGCTAAATAACTGCCATCCGTCCATACACTTCACCATGGAGCTAGCATCTGGAAACAAGTTACCTTTTGTCGGTATGGAAGTGCTCAAGAAAGGCTGTAAACTAGAAACTAGTGTTTATCGGAAACCAACAAACACAGGCCTATTGCTTCATCACCAGAGCCACGTCGATAAAAGGTACAAGAAATCACTACTTAAGACCATGTTGAATCGTGCATTCCGCCTGTCGTCCACATGGGAGTCCTTCAAATCTGAATGTGATCATCTAAAGATGATGTTTACAAACCTCAAGTATCCCGACCACCTCATCAATTCCACCATCTCTCACTTTGTCACCTCAGTTAGGTCGGAAAACCCTGGAGTGCAAGCTCAATTATCCGTCAACGAAAATGCTGTTCACCGAGTGGTTTTGCCTTTTAAAGATCAAAAGTCAGCTGACGCAGTGAAAAGGCAATTATCAGATCTAAGCAACAAAATCGATCACACCCTTCATCCCGTGTTCAAGAGTCGCAAAATCTGTGAAGATCTCAGAGTACGTGAGCCTAAACCTCCTATAGTTAGCCAAAAATGCGTGTATACAATTATAAATGTGACCTGTGTGATGCAGAGTACGTCGGGTACACCAGCCGGCATTTACATCAACGTATTAATGAGCACCGTAATTTGGCCATCGGCAAACATCTAAAGAACGACCACGGCCTACAAAC